CAGAACTGAAACCCTTTAAAAGATAAAGGATTGAAAGATATAATCTGTCTGAAAGATAACTGAAAGACATTGTCTTGTGACTGTTATCCACACTCTGGTAACCTCCATTTTGATGACTGCAGTGCTTATATGTGACACTAACTTTGAGGATAGCCTAAAAAGTTCAATTAGTCCAAAGCAAGGCAGCTAGAGTGTTTAGGCACCTCTAGCCAATTTAATCATATTGTGCAAGTGCTTTGCTATCTTCACTGGTTGCCATTCCATTTCCAATGCAAGTCCAAATCAAAGTGCTGGATTTAACTTTTAAGGCCTTCAATTGCTTGGTGACAATTTGCCTGAGTTTCTTTTCCATATCTACCTTCACAACCTTACTTCACAGATAGCCATCTCCAGGTGCCCCTGCCAATTGAGGTGAGGCAAGCAACTGTAAGACAGAGGGTCTTTTTTCTTTTCTTTTTTTTTGCAATGGCACTTTATTTGGGAATGCGGTTCTAGAGATTCTTACCTAGTACCTGCATCTACCTTATGGTCCTTTTGTTACCAGGTGAATAACTTGTTATTCTTCCAGTCATTTTAAGAACCACTCTTAATCCTCTGTGCTGGGCATTACTGTGACATAATGGCCAAAATCATGTTGCTTAGTATAGTACATTGCACTAGAGGGCTTACTGTATCAATGAGGATTTGGTGAGTCCAGTCTTCTATAAGTCCCACTGATTCAAATAGGCCTTCTCTAGTTGAATGTTCATATCACTGTTGTTGTTTTATATATATGAAAACATTTTATAAAAACTTTTTAAAGTTTGCATTTGCAATATGCATTTAAACACACACACACACACACACACACACACACACACACACACACACACACACACACACACACACACACACACACAGTAGCATGATGTGGCTAGTAGCCTTGTGAACAAGGCAAGTGACATATAAGTTCCTGATAAGTAATATAGCTGCCTTTCTGAGACCTGATTTCTCGTTCTCCCCAAATTGTAGACTTTTTAAATAAAAAAGTTAAAAGCTTCTTGTCCAACAGAGTGACTTTTTGGTTCCTAGGAGCAAAATTGTGAAGTGGGCTGAAATAATGGTTGTTCTGGGTTTTTCGGGCTCTTTGGCCGTGTTCTGAAGGTTGTTCTTCCTGACGTTTCGCCAGTCTCTGTGGCTGGCATCTTCTCTAGTTGTGACTTACTTTAGCATAGTAAATTGCAATGAGATTAGGTCTTGAATCAATGGAATTTACTGAAGATTTGAGTCACAACATCCCCACTAATCTAGTACAATTTGCTATGCTAAGCAACAGGATTTGGCCAATGTATTCATCCCCACTGCTATCTAGCGCTTCTTTATATCATGTAGTCGAAATACATTTGCTAGTCCCAGCTCAAACAGATCTACTGAATCAATTGACCAATATTCAATACCCACTTATTTAGCAGGGCTACTCAGGGTGAGCAGTAACTGGATTTAGGCCTATGCTCTAATGCATTTGTACGTTTTATATATATACATACCTTTAGATATTTCATCTAAAGGTGTGTATATATAAAAACATCCACCAGGATGTGGCACCAGTTGATTTTACAGCTTACCTGCCTTTTTGAAACCTAGATTATAGTGCACTGTTGGGTAATTAGTTCAGAAGGTCCAAGGTTGAAAGAACTATTGAAAATGAGGTAGGCAACCCAAGCCTAGCAGGCTACTGAAATATGAATGGGAGGCAACTTGTTGCTATAACCCCTTGTTCTGCTCAGGTCTCATTGCCTGGAAAGGCTACAGAACATCTTTGCATATCTAAATCCACAAACATTAAAGACTGGTCTGTTTTCCTCATTGATGATAAAACTGTATCTGAGTGGGACCAATCCACAGTGCAGCCAGGGGCTTATTTGACTGAACTGAATGATATAACCTTTCACTTACAGTGGTGTAGGTAAGACACAGCCTTAGCAACCAGCTCAGCATTAGATCTTAGAAACTGAAGGAAAGCAATATAAGAATGCCTGAATTCCCCAGTAAATTCTATCTGTGATAATTCAACTCACACTCCACAATTACAAGCCCATCTGTGGCTGTAAGATGTCTGTCTAATCATATCTACTTGTAATTCTTCCCCCTTTTAGACAAGCTCGCCACAGCAAGTCTAGCATTGCACTCAAGTCCCATCGATCGACCCATTTACAGGTTGCAAGTCACAAGTCATTTGAACTTTTCTCCCATTGACATATGCCCTTCCTTTACCACACTCAAATATTATAATCTGGCGGCTGATGTATAACTGAGCAATAGCCATCATGCCCATTAGTGAAATGCTTAAGCTAACGCTACTTGGAGATAAGGCAAAATCTGTATTATCTAATACTGGAAAGCCTCCAATTAAAAATCTTAAATCTGGAGCTTATTTTCAACTGTGTCAAGGAGGATCTATGTCACTTTACCCAATCTGGCCATGTAAATGATTTGGACTATAATTAACACGGCAATCAGATTATTTAGAGAGCATGTGTTTGCGAAAGGCAGCACACACTTTATTTATTAAATTTCTATGTATCTGTCTCCTTTCTCCTTTCCTCCAGGGAGGCACACATTGCCTGCCATCCCCTACCATTTCACCCTCTCAGAAGTCATGTACTGTAAAACAGATTAAGCCAAGAGAAAGTGACTGACCCTAAATTATTCATGACTTCAGTAGGGGTTTTAATTCAGATGAAATCTCTAATTCTCTAATCATTGAAACACACTAGTTTTACAAGGGAGGAGATAAAATTCAAACAAATTCAAAATGTTAAAACAATTGGACTGTGTGTGTGTGTTTTTTACCAGAAGTGGCCACTTCAATAGCATTATCTTGGCCATTTACTAGATCTTCTTTCATATGCATGGTGGGGCGTAAATAGTGTGCACATAAATGCTGCATTGATTGAATTTCTCCACATTCACAGAACATTTGCAATGATTCCAAGTAGCAATATTTTACTGGATTATTCTTTGATCTTCCTAATTCATTTCAAAATCTATTAAGTGACTTCCAGTCAGAATCTTGTCCTAGTGGGAGACTCTCTTTGGTATCCGTCCATTTGGCAACTGTGTTGTTTTGGTTCTCCACAGGTTCAGTCTAACTTCTTCTGGTTTAACATTTAGAACTTGAGATGTATGCAGAAAACGTTTCATTGATTTTAGCCATTGTCTAGCAGGTTGGTATCCATAAAGCAGATTTAGCACTCCGTTATCTTATTTCATTCATTATTTGCTAGCACCTCTCAATGTACTTCTGAAGGGGCAATGCCAGCCAAGATAAAGTAAAAGCTGTTAAAATCCTCACTTGATTGGCACCTGATGTGCTTTTGGCTGCAAGTCAGCATACTTTTCGTTGATTTTAGCCATTGTCTAGCAGGTTGGTATCCATAAAGCAGATTTAGCACTCCGTTATCTTATTTCATTCATTATTTGCTAGCACCTCTCAATGTACTTCTGAAGGGGCAATGCCAGCCAAGATAAAGTAAAAGCTGTTAAAATCCTCACTTGATTGGCACCTGATGTGCTTTTGGCTGCAAGTCAGCATAACTGCCTGTCATTCCCTTTATGGGAGTCCTCTGTAGGCAGAGTCAAAGGTCACACTAACTTGTCAATGTAATTGCACAGCAGGGCAAACTTGTGCCATCATAAAGCAGAATGTTTCCCAATACAAAGTAAAAGTGACAGATCAGACTGAAAAAAACTCAGCAAAAAGGAGAGGAAAAGAGTACAAACTGTGAAGTAACAACTCATTGCTCACAATTAATAAGATCCTTTTGCTATATAGGGGGAGAGATTTCCTCAGCCATCTTTTAGGCAATAATAAAAGACTGAATTTGTGTGAGGAAGCAAGCCATTTGTTCCAGGAAGGATGCTTTTTAAAAATGATAAAAGTCATTCATTCAATGAGGCTCATTATCCATATATTATCCATAACATGTAGGTAGATGTTTGAAATATCAGTAGAATCTGGCTAATCTGAAATAGATCAGCAAAGATCTCTGACTCACTTGCTCAGCAATGGCAGTAACAAAAGCCAACAACAAAATTACACACACACATGAAATATTGTAACTGAAATGGAAAAAAAAAGCAGAGGGTGATAACTATGAGCAAATTTCTGTGGGGAAGGACTGTGGTCCTTGGTAATCATTTGAACAAATTCCTTGACCCCGAGTTCTTTAATTATTTATCTTTTACACCAAGATCGATGGATCTCACTTTTCTAACCAATAATAGAACCTGCAACATGAAGACTGCTTGCCTTTGAGTTAAAACGTGTAAACCATTCAGTTGCTTCAGAAGAAAGTTTCTCTAGTTTACCTTTACGCTTCCATTGCGCTGCAGCAAAAGTCTTTAGGTAGTCGTCAAGTAAGACAGAATAAGGTAACAGCTCTATTTGCCTAGTCCCAGCCTTCACTGACAAACCCATCTAAATGTGGACATTGGGCCCATTGAGGATGCAGAGGTACCCATCCCAAGCCCCCAGGATTTGGAGAGATTCCCCACCCACATGCCCTTATCCTTCCAACTAGGAAGGTAAACAATCTCTTTGGGCATTCTAGTAAAATTTTCAAACTGAGATCAGAGGTAACACCAGGATTTCCCTTCCTTCCCCCATTTCACTTGCATTACCAAAGGGAAAATGTGTGAGGCAGGAACAGAAAACCCTGCCTGCTCTTTCTGATCAGAGATAACAACAGAATTCCAGACACGCCAGTAATCACCACTGGTTAATGTTCCTCCCTTAGCTCAGTGGTTTAGGAATCTGACTGCAGAGGCAGAGATTGGGAATTTGATTCCCCAATGTGCCTCTCTGACAGGGGCTGGACTCGATGATCCATAGGATCTCTTCAAGCACTGCAGTTCTAAATGTATCTCCAACTTCAAAGAAAAGGAGATAAAATGCTGCCAATCCAAAGGCCTTAGTCCAGTGAGAGTGACTGCATCACAAATGGCACTAGTCCACAGACCAAAGTTTATAAAGCTTTATTAAACTCGTTGAACAGCTGTGCAATGAACAAACAAAAAATAAAAACTTTCTGTGGAGGTTTCACAATTGGTTTCTCAGTTCCAGCTCCCTTGAGAGAGAAACTGACTTTTCAGCAACATTCCTCCAAGGAAGATTGTGCAGAGCCAAATGGATGGCAAAACAAGATGACCTTACAACCTTGAAATGTTACTGAAGAGGTTTACACTTGCCCCTCAGAATAGCTTACATATCACACAAGCAAGCATTTCCTAAGGAAGACAGGAGATATTCTCTGGAAATGGCCAATGTGCAAGTGAAAGCTATTCTGGAGGATGGGGATGGAGTAATAAATGCATGATCCTACTACCACAAGAAAATGGAGGATCTGTAGCCAAAGCATTTGTCACTTCCTTTCTCCCATGCATGTGAGCTCGGGCTCATCTGCTTGTGTCGAGAGATTAATACTCATGGCATTAAAGGAAAAGTAAAAGAAAAGCAGCCTGTCATTCAAGTGACTGTTCCAATTCATTATTGAGAAGGAGCCCACACTTCTCATCTCAGCAGAAGCACATTCAAATCCCCCATCCCTGAACTCCCATTTGCAAGGTAAGATAGCTTAAAATTCAAATGCAAAACCAATAAAAGGGACCCCCACACTTCACAGCAGAACATGCTTTCTTCCCAACTCAAGACTTTTGTAAACAGTGGGTATCTGACTGGGGTGGTAGGTGAAACAAGCTTCTACATCTGTGCTGCAAAAGTGGCATCATGATGACTCCAGGATTTTTGAGCTATGATCTTGGCAGATAAGTAGTTTGGAAAGCGTTCCAGACAACACTGCCCCTTCCAGTTGGGCCTGCTGAGATGAATCAGCAGCCTCTGTCCCATGAAGCTTTCAAACTTATTAGTCATTTGCAAGTTCTTCCTCAGTTGTCTGGAGCAATAAACACCAGCTACAGATGAAATAAGGCTTTCCAACTGTTTCCACAAGATCAGAGGACTCACGTTACATACGACTGATGTCTGTCTCCTGATTTAGGAAAGGAGTCAGATAAATGCTACTGCATCAAGCAACATATCTCTTTACAACTGAGTCAGAGATTGAATAATCAACCTTAAACAATATAGAAGGCAGAAGGAGAAAAAGAAAAGCCACCCAGAACAGATAGCCACATCAGTTATCACTATAAACAGTTTTCTTCAAATTTAACAGGCAGATTTAGGAGGTATAGGTCATCATGAAACTGTTTAATCCAGACGTACAAACAGGCTGCTTGTACTCCAATCACATGTCTTAGAATCTCTCCTTCCAATTACACTGTCCCTTTAGAAGAAAGGGGGGGGACCCACAAAGATCTTGCAATCAAGTGGAAAGTTTTAAGTGCCAACTATGTTGGGATCATGAGCAGAGTCAGGCAGATGGGAGCCAGAGCAATGATACAAAAAGCAATTTCCCCAGCAGCTGTAGCAGATGAGGAACAAAGCGGCCAAGAAGACCAAGGCACAGATTGTGCAAGGTTTCCGCTCCAAAAGGAAACTCAGTAGATAGAAGCCCATGAACATTGAATGACTGAACCACAAGGCTGGGTTGAGAGGCTTTGGGATGAGGAGAACAGGCAATAACCACTGGAGGCAGTACATGGTGTCTTGTGATCAGGGTGTGAGAGTGAGGACAGCAATCCAAAGCGGCAGGGCGTAATGTCTTCTCCACACTTTCAAATCTTCAGAAAGCAAATCAGGATGCTTCATAAAACTGTATGGTGATATACGAGTTTGTCTTGAGGGAGAGAGAAAGGGAAAGATACACATCAGCAAAGTAGATTATCAAACATTTTAAATTTGCGCTTTCCAATAACCCATCCTGCCATAAACCCCAAACTCCATAAACCCATAAATGTAATCACCCAACACAGCTGAACATTCTCATTTCCCCAAGGGTCACTTCAATCTTTTAGTCTGAGAACTGCAAGCTCCAGCTGTTCCTTGTTCTAGGGTTCTAGAAAAGATCAAAGCAGTATGCTACTACTCGCAATATGACAGCTCTTCTACCTTATGTACTAATTAAAGGATAAATCTTTTAAAAGTCCAACTACAATCACATTAATGGTTGAGAGCTTCTTGTCTACTCAGGATCTGTACTGGAGAGAGACCAAAGTCCTCTCAAGCACAAACTGAAATTTCACAATAAGCTACGAAAACTGAAAATGCCATAAATTAAGGCAAACTGTATTTTCATTTTCCTTGTTCTGTTTGTCAGAATTTGGAGCCTGATGGTCATGTAACACTAACCAATCCACAAATGGGAACAAATACTGGTTGAACATTCAGGATTACTATTTCGGTTGCTGAGAATTTATAATGTTTTTCATGTTTGCACGTGAAATGTAGTATACATCATATCTGCACTTGAAATTACTATTATTCCTACACAATGTTTGAGAAAGTAGTATGCTACAAAGCAAGGACTGGGAGCTGGGGAGATGGAAATCAATTTGAAGCACTAGAGAAGGGGTGGCTTAAAAATAAGAAGCTGTTGTATTTTAGGAAACTGTCCTGTTTCAGTAGAGAAATGGGATTAATTATTTGAAGCTTCAAGCTCTTGCTACTTGGAAATACAGAAACTGTAACTAAAGGAAAACCTATATACATACAACAAATCCATTTATAATTTTGACTAACTAAAACAATTACACAAAAGGAGACCCTTCCCCCCGTCATGTTAGCCTCCAATAACATCGAACACACCAAGTTCAGCAAAGTTAAACCAAAACGTATAGCCTGCCAGTGCTTTGGCGTCCCCCACTCTGCCTCAGACAGCAAAACTAGAAAACTATAGAGTCCTAATCCCATCTCTGTCAGAGGCAGGTCATGTTAACTGGGCAGCCTTCCCTCCCCCAGCTAAAGGGAAATTCTCTAGGTTTCAAAAAGGCAGAAAGGGAGAAGGAGGGGGGGCCCAGATTGCTTCTGACTATCCTCGGTTTTAAGAGATAGGTCATAAATTCCAAATTGCTAGCTGAAGAAGAGCTTGAAACCAACATGCATGCTGCAGCTGTTTCCATCTAAGAAGCTTGCCTGGCCTCTACGCCATCAGCCATGTGAATCTGGAACATTAAAAACAGCAGTAAGTTTGGAACTGCCCACAAGAACTTGATGCAGAGCCTTGAAGAAAATGATTTATCATCAAAAGCTCATTTTTTTTGTTTGCTTGTTTGTTTTATATTTGTAATGGTTGATTAAAGGCATCACCTGCTCATGCATTTGTATTGTTTCCATGACCATGTGGCCTTGTCCCGATTTTTCCTACAGAGTCATTTGTTTGGCTTATGGGGTCACAAGCTACAGAGGCTCCAACTAAATTATAGGAAGGAGAATCAGGAAGCAGAAATAACAGATGTAATGTGATCTTAGAACTGTAGTAAAGTAAAAGGTCCACAGAAAAATGGCTGGCATATGTGCATTCTAATTCCAAAGAGGATTCTAGTGAACACATCTACCAGCATCTCAGTGATTAATATAGTTTTCCATTTAAAGCAAAAGGGAATTGGGAGAGAGGTCTCTTCCAGCTCAGCTTGTTCAGCAGAACCAGGGGAAATGTGCAAAGACTGTTTAGTTGAAACCTTATGCTCTGCTGAGGATTTAATGACCAATAAATAGATTCATTTTCACATAGATAATATTAACATCAAGGATTGAGGGCATGAGATGTCAAGAGAAAATGTACTGGCAAGTCAGATATTCAATTTGAGATAGCTAACATACTAACACAAATGTGTGGCTTTCTGGTAAAGATACTAGATAAAATTAAAAGAAAATTAAAAACACTTCTCTTTGAAGTAGTGCAATACTCATGGATGTCTTGAATCCTTTTTGCCAAAGAATCACATTTGTGGACTTCAAAAGGCAATCCTACTGGCACACATTCTATAGGTAACTGTAGAGATGAGAAACAATCCCAGCCTGAAGAATTTAGAAACCTTTTCAAACAGATACACTTATGGATCATGCAGAAAAATCCCAACTCACCTAATAATTAACTATGTGCCATCAAGACATTTCCAACTTATGGTGACCCTCTAAGGCTTTGATAGGTAAAAAGTGCTCAGAAATGGTTCTAGGATGGTGTAGTTAGCAGAAAGCAACATAGCATGTAACCCCAAAAGCCACAAATGTTCCAGGTGATTTGGCTGGCATCTCTACCGGAAGGCACAGTAGGGAATTGAACTCCCAGCCCCTTACTCTGCAGTCAGCCACCCAAACCCACACGAGGCACCTAGAAATTAAAAGCACCACCCCTGTGAATTGGCAGGTAAGGCTGGCAGGTAAGGATTTTAAATGTATTTGTAACCCTGCTGTCAAACTGATTTAAGTACAAACAGTGAATAATACAACATAGAATCCTTATTACTAGCACAGCTGTTGACATTTCATTAGATTACTGAAACAGTGCCAGAAAGCAGACCGTAGTTCAGAGTAGAGATGGGGCATTCATATTTGTATATGAATACCCCCGTGCATGTGGACATAATGTCCACTCCCCATCTGCTGCTGCCACAGCTCTGCACTCCCTTCCAATTGCTCCAGAGCTCGGGGTCAACTAGCCTGGCAGGGAGGCTCATCTTCCTGCCTTCTGCCAGGAGTGGCTAGTTGACCACAAGCTCCAGAGTGATTGGAAGCAAGTGTGGAGCTGCTGCAGCAGTGGACAGGTGAGTGAACAGTCTGGTCCCAGGGGGCTGGACCCTCATTATGTCCACCTGTGCGGGGGAATTCATATTTGTATATATGAATTCCCCCATCTCTAGTTCAGAGTTTTAATGCTGAGGTGGACAGGGTCTACTGATCCAGGTACTATTTCTTGTGCATCAACTCTCCCCAGGGCTGTACCAGCAACTCCAAATGAAATCCAAAGTAACATAACATTCTGGTCATTTCTGATTTCAGCAGAAACAAGGAAACAAACCACTAATGTTTTTTTACCAACTCTAAAGCAAGAAAACTACTCTCAAAGAACCTGGAGGTATCTCATCTACTCCTGGAGATCACGAGGAATAGATGAGATACCAGCAGAACTATTTCAAGCTACAGAGACTAAATTTATCAAATCCAAAAAGGAATACACCCGTAAATGTGGAAATCAATTATCCCCACAGTGGAAAAATTCAATATACATTCCAACCCCCAAAGCAAGAGAGGTCACAGAGTATAATAACTACAAGACCAATGTATTAATTTTCTATTCAACAAAAGTGATGCTGAAGGCATCTCAGAAGTCCTTCATTAAGGTCTTCATGTTATATAGTTTGAATACCCTGAGACTGTATGTATTTAAGTTCTCTCTAGAGATGTAAATTTCCCCCCAAAATCCATTTTTTTCAGGGGGGGGAAGGGAAAAAAATTTAAGGGAGTGTGGAACATGTTTACAATGATAAATAATATGTCTACGGCAGGGTATTCAAACTATATAACATGAAGACCTTAATGAAAGACTTCTGAGACTGTATGTATTTAAGTTCTCTCTAGAGATGTAAATTTCCCCAAAAAATTAATTTTTTTCGGGGGGGGGGAGAAGGGAAAAAAATTTAAGGGAAAAAGGAAATGTTTGGAAATGTTATATCTACTTTGCACAAAAAAACATGCCAATGTCAAACTAGAATCAGGAAAGCCAAAATCCATTTTTTTCAGGGGGGGGAAGGGAAAAAAATTTAAGGGAAAAAGGAAATGTTTGGAAATGTTATATCTACTTTGCACAAAAAAACATGCCAATGTCAAACTAGAATCAGGAAAAGAAGAGGTACTAGAGATAATACCATAAATATATACAGTACTGGCTATTTGAGTATACCAAAGATGATAATCAGAAGCTACTTTGTAGATTATTACAGCAAGGCTTTTGACTGTGTGGAAGATGAAAAGTTATGGATCATTATAAAAGAAATTGCTGTGCCACATTTGATTAACTTGCTCTATTACTTACAGTCTGGACAAGAAGACAAATATTAGGACAGAATACATAGATACTGTTTCCCATTGCCAGAAGTGTCAGACAAGGGTGTATTTTATCTTCCTTTCTGTTCTATCTATACATAAGACCATATGAAAAATGGATTAGATTAAGGTGAAGGAAAAGTGGAAATTGGTGGAAGAAACACCAATAATTTAAGATATTCGAGTTAACACTATATTACTGGCAGAAAGCAGCAATGACCTGAAATAATTGGTGATGAAGATTAAAGAAGAAAGTGCAGAAGCATAAAGACAAAAATCATGAATCCATAAGAATTACATGACTTTAAATTGAAATTGTTGACAATTTTCTATACCTTGGTATACTTATCAATAAAAATGAAGATTGCAGCCAAGAAACTGGAAGGAAGCAGAGACCTTGATAGGTGCCTATGAAGGTATTAGAGGAAATTCATGAGTGCAAGGATGTGTTATTGTAGACTAAGGCCAACTTTATCAATATGGTGGTATTCTTGACTACTATGCATGCATATAAAAGCTGTCAGGAAAAATATTCATTCCTTCAAAATGTCATGTTGGAGGAGAGCTTTATAGATATAATGGATAGCCGGAAAGCCAAATAAATGGGTACCAGATCAAATCAAGCCTGATTTTCTAGAAGCAGAGATGACTAAATTGCGGCTATTCTCCTTTAGATGTACCATGAGAAGGCAGGATTAACTGGAAAAAACAGCAGTGCTAGGGAAAGTTGAAAGCAGCAAGAAAAGCAAAAGATCCATGCCATATTCAGTAAGGAATGCCGTACCCTTGAGTCTGGAAGACCTGAGCAGGGCTGTTAACAATACGACCTTCTGGTAGTTATTAATTCAGAAGTGGCTTGACAGCATATTATTATTATAGTAACAACTGAGGTAAGTGAGGGCACACCTTATTTAATAAAAGAACCACATGCCTTGGAGCTCAGATTCTGTCTTTAAATAGGTGGTTAAATACATTCATAGGGTTATTTTTCTTTTACAAGGCTTTGGGAGCCACAATGCAGCCTTGGGACGCCATACAATTCCCACCCATTTGAGGTGCTTCTTTGCTTATAAGAGAGCAAGCTGCATGTCCTCTGTAAGCTGATCAAGAGCTGATTTTAGGAGCAAAAGCCAAACCAGCAGGTGAAAGTAGCAATAATTAGATAAGCTCCCACATGACTCAGACTATTTTCCAAACAGAATACCTTCCTGCTACCTTCAGACTTCTTTCGCTGTTGATTTCATTCTAAAGATGATCCTACTCATCCATTCACAGGCTTCTGAGGTTCTGGTGGATAAAACAATTATATAAAAAAGGGTAGATTCACTGGGGGAGGGAGGTTTCAAGTCAAGAATGAGTAATGTTCTAATACATCAATCATTCATTCTTATTATCTTGCCAGGAGAGAAACTCTTTTAACAGACAAAAAAACAAGTACAGGATGTATGCCAGGGCTCACACAAGCAATTTCTGATTTAAACCTCCATAGAAAAAGCTTACTGAGTTGGCGAAAACTTATTTCACTGCTATTGTTCATAAACTAATTAATACTGCCTATCAAACTGCACTATGCCCAGTAAGTCTAGAAGGGTAAAGACATTATTGCAGACCCCATACATTCTTGGCAACTTGCATTTAAAGCAACATCCTTCCTGAGCCATTTTAGCAGCTATCACGTCCTCTATTTTCAGGGAAATAAACCTTTCCCAGAAAACCAGCAGCTTTCCATCCTCAATGCTTAATCTGTAAACTGTCAAAAGTAGCAAGGCAGATAGAAAGAGAACCTTCACATCAGGCCAATCTAAATATGATAAATATCGTCGTCATTTAGTCGTGTCCGACTCTTCGTGACCCCATGGACCAGAGCACGCCAGGCCCTCCTATCTTCCACTGCCTCCCGGAGCTGTGTCAAATTCATGTTGGTAGCTTCGCAGACACTGTCCAGCCATCTCATTCTCGGTCGTCCCCTTCTCCTCTTGCCATCGCACTTTCCTAATATCAAGGTTTTTTCCAAGGAGTCTTTTCTTCTCATGAGATGAGTATTGGAACCTCAGCTTCAGGATCTGTCCTTCCAGTGAGCACTCAGGGCTGATTTCCTTTAGAATTGATAGGTTTGTTCTCCTTGCAGTCCAGGGGATTCTCAAGAGCCTCCTCCAGCACCACAATTCAAAGGCATCCATTCTTCGGCGGTCTGCTTTCTTTATGGTCCAGCTCTCACTTCCATGATAAATATATTCTTCCTGAATACAATGCTTACTATGGCCATAACCATTGCAAAGCCAAATGTGAAGATCCCAGGTTCATCACTCAAACCTCTGACCAAAAGAGATACACAATGTTCTTGGATTATGAATGTAGAGCAAATGGGGACAGCAAACTGTAAAGCTTCCTATTAATCCAAACAACTTTTTTTTTAGAGGCCAGTCACTGGAAGGCAGAGATCTGGACATACAGGGTTCAGTCAAGGTGGATTTTCTATAATATCTCAATGGAAGAAAACCACCAGCTCCAAGATTCACTGGGACATGCACAACAGAAGATAATCACAAATGGTATCCAAAGTTCAATCTGGGAAATGCAATGCTGCATAGAACTTTAACAACAAGTTGATAAAAGGAACAGTTAGTTTCTTTTTAAATCAACATTTCTAAAAAAAAGTTATTTTCAAGCACAATGTAAAAAAAAGGTAAATATTCACACCCACCCACTTCTGTTCAAGAAAGAGAATTTAGCTATAGTTGATCAGAAGCAAGAGATGGTAGCTAGAACTGTGGATTAAGGCTGGCATAAGTGTAATGGCATCAATTGCAACAGTGAACTGCCACTCATAATCCAAGTTGTGCAATCAGGAACACGAGCAACAACAATTAGCAACAGTTTACTGTTACAATTTATGCCATTACACTTACTGTACTGATAATAACTGCATGCACTCAAGTCAATTCTAGCTTGTGGCACCATTTTGCAGGAACATGAGCAACAACAATTAGCAACAGTTTACCGTTACAATTTATGCCATTACACTTACTGATAATAACTGCATGCACTCCAGTCAATTCTAGCTTGTGGCACCATTTTGAACATTTTTTAGGTACAGAGTACTCAAAAATGGTTTACCATTCCTTTCTTCTGGGACTGTTTCAGAGAATTTGGAGAAAAAGCAATTAATTACATTAAACCTACATTTCCCAGAATCACAAGCCTCTTCTTCCTGATTTCTGTTGGCACAGGTCAGATTGTGGAATGACTAAGTACAGAGAAAGCTCAGCTCTTTCTGAGAGTTCAGCTTTATGATGGAGATTTTAAAGTAACTGAACATTTCTTTATTGACTTGCCATTAAAAGTTCTTTGCTGCCTCTCTCAGACTGAGCTAAAGATGCAGTTATTATTATTCCCTTCTGTGGTGGTTGCAGTGAAACCCATGGAGGCTGATTTTTTCCAGTTCACATAATGTGGAAACTCCACCAAGAATGAGTGCTGTATTTCAGATCTCTGCTTTCCAATGGCCAAATACTAGAAAAATAAGGGCTGAATTCAGCTGACTACCATGCTATTTACTAAATGGACACTCCTAGCTCTTCAGATTATTGTGGCAATTGATTTATCCTTGTTTACTAACTTTTAAGTTTAATTCTCCCTTTCTGTTCCCACTATTTAAGTTTAAATTATATTTGAAATAAGCTTTGTGACAGGAAAAGGTATTTTTGCTTATTTGTGATTTACTAAGCTAAGCAACAGGATTTTGGCCAATGAATTAAGTCCAGAGTGAAACAATGCACTCAGCTAAAGTTTCTGATGAAAACTTCAGATGCTTTGGAGCAGCTAAACTGTGAATCCTAGTATGTTTTTTTCTTTTTCTTTTCTTTTTTTGTAAATAGACACATTTGAAAAGAACACAAAGCATGACACTAGGTCTTCCCAAAATTTCACAGTGATAACAATTATTCAACTATGGGTCACTTCACTATTTTTGTTCAAATGTACTTCGCTCTAGGTCCACGCTCTGGCAAAAAAAATATGCAGATACCCTAGACAGCCAGAAAGATGAAAAAAGTGAGTCCTAGATCAAAGCATCAGGAACTATCACTGAAGCGAAAAATGTTGAAACTGAGATTGTCCTACTTTGGGCACACCATGAGAAGGCAGAATTCTCCAGAAAAGACAATAATGCTGGAAAATGTGGAAGGCAGCAGGAAAAGAGGCAGACCAAATATGAGATGGACTGACTTGCTAAAAGAAGTCACAGGCTTAAGTTTGCCTTAATTGCTGATCAGGGCTGTTGAGGACAGGAGATTCTGGAGATCATGCATTCATGGAGTTGCCTTAAGTGAAGGCTGACTTGACAGAACAAAGCAACAATTTCAAGATAGTGGAGAAGAACAAGAGCAGGTCTGAAGAGAATCAAAATTATGCAAGACTGAGAAACATATCCCAAGCCCAGCTAGGCAGGCTTTTTTTCTCTCTCCAAATCCTGTCCCTTCTTTTACAGAACACACAGCAAAATAATCATACCTCCAAGGAGCTAGGAAAAAGTAATACATTCAGACTTAAATTGACAAAAGCTGACATTTACTTGAGAAATGATTCAGTTTCATTGTTGTAGCCAATCCTGAATCACCATTATCTGTCATAGGTACAGATACTGATTTTCAGATTATGATTGACTCTCACTTCTTATATTGATCTTATACTGCAGATGAATCCTGCCTTGTGTGCTAGTTCGCAAGATGATAACAGATGTACTTACAACTTACTCTCCCATCTGATGTCACAATCAAACAAAGATAAACATTGTCATACTAAAGCACTGGACAACATGTAAGTTCTTGAGAACAGATTCCCTCAGAGAATCTCCTCTGACATGTCGACATGTCTCTGACCAATAAGCATTGTGAACGTCTTCAAGTGTGATCTTTATGAATGTGAAGGAGTAAAATTAACAGTCTGGAATGGAATAGCATAGTGTCCCATGACTATGGTTTGTGCAAAGCTGGGAACAACAAAACATAGACCTACATGTGAAGAACTGGGCTTTTTATTCTGAAAAACAGCACATTATTTGTCAATAGAAGTCCCTCTGCACCAACAAAGCAAGACTCTGAGGAGCAGAGAAAGATAACAAAGAACTAGAAAGGGGATATAGTGCTGTTTCACTTCACTTTCTACTGAAAAACTATCACACATGGCTGGGCTGAGCTGCAAATATTGTGCATATTGCCATGGAAACATCAGATAAGGCAAACTAACTTCCCAACATCTAAGGATCTTGTAAAGTCTCAGTTTGCTGACTGTATCAAATGTCTTGCTAAGATCAACAGAAAGGAGGTAGAATTTGTTCATACAGTCCTTATTCATTTTTTGTTGCAGACAGTTCATATGGACTACTGATCTGCTTGTTCTAAAGCTGCACTGCACCTGAGGGGAACACTCAAGAAGAAAGTAACTGCGGGCACCTTTAAAAAATCACTATGGCCTTTGCCTGCTAATGAGATTTCAATACAGCTGCTGATATGTCCAGTGACTTTGCTCTTTTATAGCATGTTAAGGATTAGACTAGGTTCCTTCTATTCACAGATACTACTGAGATCTGGCACAGAATCCTATCAATGAGAGGGGAAAGGAATACAAGGTTCATCAATTCTCACTGTGTTTCAGCCAGGCTGTGTTCTTTGCCTACAAGGACAACATTTTAATCTAAGTAGGCCAAGTCAGTTCTTCCTTCTGGTTATGTTTCCGCAGGCACATTTGACCATCTCTTACAAACTTTTTTAAGAGAGAAGAAAGTGACTGGGTACCTATTCTTCATCCATAAAATCCCAGACTGAACTGTATCTATCACCAATTAAAAGGCTCTTGGGCATCAAAATTAGGAAATATGTGCGCCAGAGATCATGGAGTCACTGTTATACCCAAGGAACAGTACTGATCTGACATTTTTTAAGTGATTTCATATAATAATCATCCCAATTTGAATTATTTCTTCAGGGTTCTTAAAACTATATTTTCTAATCGATATCCTTTAATTACAAACACTCCTCTTAGCTTTCTCTGCTGGCAATGCTCATGCAAAATACATCTAGGTAAGTCCATCAAGGTCAAGATGGAAACAAAATAATAGAGGAGGTTAGTGGCAGGGCAAGTGATGTAACAGGACCAGTATGAAGAATGCTCACTACTTCGCAACTCCTGGTAACAGCAAAGCCAGGCTGATAATAAAATCCAGATTCCAGGTTTCACCAGCATCCTCAGTGATTTTGTGTATGCTTTGCTGGCTAAAACTTGCTTCATCATAAACTGCAATGTAGTGATTTAATCACTTGCAATCAAGTCACTCAGAAGGAAACATATGAAGCTATTTAAAGCATATTTGTTTTACAATGCAAGAAACATTTGTTTTAGAATGCACCAAAAGGGGTCCATTTTCAATTTCTGCTTAATCACATACCTCTTTTTACTCTCCAGAACTTCCTTACCATAATAGGCTTACTCAATTTCTCTTGCAACTTGGAAGCTCTTAAATATCAATCATATGAGACCAGCATCTATTAGTAATCTGGAACACACCATGGCTAGCTCTCCACCTCTCCTTGAACAGTAGCCAAATCCTTATTTGCTACTCATATATAGTGAATAAGTTAAAATTGCTACTGATTCTAGATTGTTTAGAGCTACCACACTGTTCTCTCACACTGAATGCCAACAGAAACAGACCTATTAGGAACCAGGAACTGAAAAGGCAGAAATCCAGATTTTCTTTTCAACTGAGAAGAAACCAGTTCACCATTTAACAGTCCTTTGATATACAACATTTCGTATTTAACATACAACAATCTGTAATTTAAAAGGAGGTATCTTTACCAGCACTTATAAGAAATTTTTTAGCAACTTTTATTAACCACTGAACATGAACATAGGATAGAAAACTGACCTTCAACATTGGTAATATAATTCTTTTTATTCCAATAATGATCATTTGTACAAATCTCTATGATATGAGTCTGAACTACTTTAAAGTTAGTGCCTTGGACACTGCTGTTTTTTGCATGGTAGATGGGGAGGAGTGATGTCTACCCTTCTGCGATTGTACCAGGACACCAGAAACTAGCTTATCTGTCTCTTTTCTCAGTTCTCTTTGGTGAGGTTTTGGGAACACATACAAATGTGAAATAACTCTGTTCCTCAGCTCTCACTGCAGTACAGTACAATTAACAAAATAAAATATCAGGCTTCAAGGGTTTCACTTCCTTTCCTTTAGCAAATGATGATATCTGACGTCTATATTGTGTAGTTTAACCATGTCATCTACACAGAAACAGAACAACTTTTTGAACAAGTGGTCTAAATTAACCAGTGTCAGTGCAAGCTGTGGATTTCAATGAGCAAGGATCATAAAGTAGAATTGATACCTGCAGAATAATGTTGATCTTTGCACACTGAAATCCACAGTTTGCACTCATATTGGAATATTTTGAACACTGAATTTTTAATATCTAATATTTTTAATATATGTCTCCCCCAAACCTTCACCAAAGTGTTTGGGATAACAGCAAATTATATGGACTCATCTAACTAGTATCTTCAAATGTCCCAATGAAATACAGAGAAGAAAAACCAACAATCCCTAAAATGTGAAATATAGTCAGTAAGACCATTGTACTGTATAAGGTTCCTGCCCAACATGCACTTGTCAGTATTGTGTACTGTGGACAGATAGATCCCTTGCTTATATAGCTGCATTCCTTTTGGCAAAGAATAATGTGTTCTTAAATTCAACTAAATCTTTTAACGGGGAAAAAGCTAATATTAACTTACATTGCAGTTAACAAAGTGTCTATTTTCTGTTACTTTCATTCCCAGGATCAACAGCCAAAGCAATAATGCAACAAATGCTTCAAATCCTAGAACTTTTCTATTAAGATGTGCTTTAATTCTTTATAGGAAAGTAGGATTATCTTCTAAGAATCTTAACACCAGATCTGTAAGATTACTTATTTCTCATTTCTCCAGAGGCAAATGAATGCAACATAACACATACTTTTGTCAAGAATTAATGAAATTAAGATAAATATCACACTACATGTATAACAAAATGTTGCAAGCCATTTTTTTCATTACTGGTTTACTGACAACACATGCATTTCTACAGGTTGGAGCAAAAGTACAATACCAAGCGTTTCTTTGAGAACTTAATTAGATATGGCAAAAATGCATGTATGATTCAGCAAAAGTAGAAATATATGGTACAAGAAGATAATGTTCCTGCTACCACTCAATTCAGGCTAATATCTGGCAAAAAGAGATGCACACACTGATAAACTTCTGTGCCAAAGAAGGTCAATCAGAGAGGGCAAAAGAAGCAAAGAGAGCTGAAAGAAAGATAGAGAGCTAAAGAAGATAAACAGGAATTAAATAATCCGGGATAGAAAATCTCTCCTTAAAATGGAAGAAAGCAGTAAAAGTAATGACAAAACAGGAAGTATTTTCATATTCTTTGCTTTGTTTACCCGCAATGTTAAATGAGAGCCACTTCTTCTACGGGATAGAACAGAGAATGAGGTCCAAAAGACAAATCCATGATTGAAGCTCTCATAGGTTTAAATCCAGCATTCAGTGAAACTGTCCTTGTGGTTTCCAATATTTTCCTTTGATTGCCTCTCAACTGCAGTATTTGGGTCTTAAAAGACATTCTGACTTTACCTATACAGATCAAGTTTAGGCTTCAGGCTGCCTAATTATTTTTTCCATAAATTCACTGCATATGGAAAATGAATAACATTTAAACATGAATATGATAAGAGGACTAAAAAAGGGATGAAGATGTGATAGCAAAAATTATTTTACCTCCCCTATTCCCAAGAAAATACTAATCTTCCCCAGCTAAGGATGAAATTGGAAATTCTGAGAAACACACATCAACCCAGCTGTAGAAAGCTGTTTATTTTCCAGTTTGGTTGTTATGACAAAATGTTCAATATCTTTGGTATTTGTTAAGTATTAAGAGACTTGAGCAACAAATTTATCCTCATTCCCAACCTGTAGTATGCTGGCTGAACTGCATGCACATCCTGGTAAGTTATAAGAGTACTCAGAGTAGGGACACAATCACTGATCTCTAAATAAAAACAAATGTACTACACACTGGGCTATACTATCACATCTCCCATACTGCAAAGTCCACTACAACCAAAGAATGCCCTTTAGAAAAGCCATGTCTTCCCAAATGAATTCCACTTCACCACTTATTGCTGTAGTTCTATTAACCATGTTTTAAAATAAAGGCAACAGCCCTCTGATATCCCTTCCCAGAAACATGTACCTCATTCTCAAGCGATGAAGTAACAGCAACTGGTGGACCAATTCTGCACAAATCTGCCTTCTCCTCTTAAACAGCTGCCCAACCCAAAACATCTTAAGTTTTGTTTTATAACAATAATTGTGTGCTGTCAAGTCAAATATGACATGGTGACCCTTAACACTGTTTTCTAGGTAGAAAGTACTCCAAGTGGTTTACCATTCCCTTCTTCTGGGGGTGCTGCAGGACTGTGCTGAGTACCCATGGCTACTTTGGCTGGCTCTTCTGAGATTTACAGTGGGAAACTGAACTCCCAACGTGGTTGGGGAGAGTCTCTGTGGCTGGCATCTTCAGAGGACAGCATCTTCAGAGGACAGTACTCTGCACTCTGCAGCACAGAGTGCTGTCCTCTGAAGACGCCGGCCACAGAGACTGGCGAAATGTTAGGAAGAACAACCTTCAGAACACGGCCAAAAAGCCCGAAAAACCCACAACAACCATCAGATCCCGGCCGTGAAAGCCTTCGCGAATAATGTACATTGAACTCCCAACGTTTGGCTCCACTGCCGGATGCCTAACTCACTGAGCTACCCGGCCAAGTTTTGTTTTAAAAAATATCAAAAACTGATTTGATACGCTTGCAGAGTTTGCATAATACACCTTCTACACTGCTCCTGTATTGCCACTTTACTTTTCCCAGGACAGTTTTACGTTTCAATAGGAAAATCACACAGGAACAAATGCAATAAGAATAATAATAGTAAAAGTTTCTGGCAGGAAATATCCTCACCTCATCATGCTTTGAGTGGTGAGGGAAAGTACTTCTCTGCCAATTCTGGGCCGACTCATCAATTTTACTGGATTAACTCTAAACTTCTGCTGCTACCTAAGAGCAAGGGATTGAAGGGGGGGGGGGTTGCGAAGATAAGCAAGGAGGAGTGACAGCATTACCGTGGATACCATCACCTGCGGATAAGGCAAAGATCCACGGCAAAACGACCCTCTTAGGAGGGGGGAGGCCACTCCCAAGAGGCAGAGAGAGGGCTCAACAAAAGCACCCACCTACCCACCCCCGCCGCCAAGGTCCCTCCCCTGCTTCCTGGGGCCCGGGGAAGGCGCTCGTCTCCCCTCTCCCTTCCCCTTGCTCCGAGGGACCTCGGGCGTTGCCACCTCCTGGGTTGGCAAAGGGACTCCAGGCTGAGCACCTTCCCGGCAAGAGCCGCGGCCGCCGCCGCCGCCTGCCCTTCCGACCACTCCCTCCGGGCCCCCACTTCAGCTGTATTACCTGCGCTCCTCGCCATTGCGCCGCCTCGTCCCTCTAGGCCGCTCTCACTCCCTTTCTGTGTCTGTCGCTCTCCGTAGGACCCTGTAACGGCTTTCTCAAGACCCGAGACGGGCCGTTCACTCCACTGCCTGACTTTTAAGGCGGACCCCACGCGACGTCTCCCGTTAAGTCTGGACATCCCCCAGACTCTAAACACTCGTCTTCTTCTTACCTCCCCCCCGTTTCTCTAGAAATCCGGGATCGGAGTTCAACAGTGACGTTGCGCTTGGAGCAGGCGTTGTCGTAGCCACCCCGTCCTTATAGTCGTAAGTGTAAACTATTGTAGGAAGACCCCGCCTTCTGACTGGAGGATGAGCTTTCTTGTTTAGTTGTTAAGTCATGTCCGACCCCTCATGACCCCAACGACCAGAGCACACCAGGCCCTCCTGTCTTCCACTCCCTCCCGGAGTTGGGTCAAATTCATGTTGGTTGCTTTGCCAGCCATCTCATCCTCTGTCGTCCCCTTCTCCTCTTGCCCTCACACTTTCCCAATATTAAGGTCTTTTCCAGGGAGTCTTTTCTTCTCATGAGATGGCCAAAGTATTGGAGCCTCAGCTTCAGGATCTGTCCTTCCAGTGAGCACTCAGGGTTGATTTCCTTCAGAATGGATCGGTTTGTTCTCCTTGCAGTCCAGGGGACTCTCAAGAGTCTCCTCCAGCGCCACAATTCAAAAGCATCAATTCTTTGCTGGTCAGCCTTATTTATGATCCAGCCCTCACTTCCATACATCGCTACTGGAAAAACCATTGTTTTGACTATCGTTTTTCCTTAGCTCATGAATATGCAACAGGTGGGAGTGGGCAGGAAAAAACACCTGTCATTTAAGGCAAGTTACAATATTTCCCGCTCTGGGAGATTGGTATTGGAGTTAGCAGAGGTGATGGGTGTGTGTGTGAAATTGTGCTAATATAATGAGCACTGAGATGTTTGTTCCTCCTGATTTATGCAATGCGGAGGTGTAACCCCTCCAATAATTAAACAAAAAAATTTACTATCTTAAAATATATTCGAGTATTTAACACCACTGTACTTTATATACTTAAGAACGGTCCCAGTTTCATCTCTATTCTGTTGTAGACCTCCCACGTCCACTCCATAATAACTTTTTAAATCTCCAAATGTGAATACACTGCATATTCACCAAGGGAATATTCCTCTACAGGAATATGGGAATATGTTCAAACACCACAGCTCCGGAAAGCCTACAATTCCTAGAACCTCTAGAAAGCCTGAGAGATTCTGAGAACTGCTAATCAAAAAACTAACTTTTCCAAACTCTTTTCATACAGCAAACAACCCATTCATTACAATAAGGGATAAATGAATCAACACTTTGATGGTTGCTGTCCACTGCCACCTCAAACTAAAAAAGGAAGAAAACAAAATGGATTCAAGCTTCTTCATAGGCATTGCCAGGAAAAATTTAAGTATGCCAACACATGTGTGCATTCTTATCCAGTCATAACTGTGAACTCTGAAAACAGGCAGGATTGTTCCCCGTTGCCAAACAGAATTGGGACTCTCAAGAGTCTATTGCCATTTGGAAAGGGGACCCAGTATCCCCGCACGGTTCAGAAGGTCTTGTTGCTCCAGAGAAAAGGAAACAAGGAAGAGAGGGGAAAATCCCAGTATAATCTATCAAGTGTTTGTAGATAACACAGGAATTCTTCCAATGGTTCCCCACTGGGAGGTGGCACCACCCTTCTCAGCACTCCCAGGATGTCCTGGAATCATTGACTGAAACGGGATCACTCCACCCTTTCTCCAGCAAAGGACTACTTCTCACCAGGTTCTCCCAGAAAGTCCTAACAGCTCCAGCTACGAACAGATCCATGTGGGCACGACAGCCATCTTTAAGGCAAGAATTCTAAGAACATTTGGGAGTTAAAAATGATTAACTCGTCTTGCCGCTTTCCCCCACGGGGAAGGTACAGTGGCCTTACTCTACTCTCATCATGAGCTGCTTGTAGGTAAAGCAACAGGGAAAACAAAGCTGTGGCTAGAAAACCTCCATCAAGCACCTGAGATTTGATGACACATTCCCTAAAATTATCTTGCCAGCAGAGGGCACCCCATTTCACACAACATTGAGCCTGATAGACCACTGGTTCACTCATAAGGCAACATCTTACATTTCTGTTTCTAAAATATATATGACCGTGCTTTTGGAACACCTGGTGGATAGGAGACACTGCACTCAACTAGAAAGCTACCAGAAATATATTATACATAAATATGAGAATTAGATGTATTGGATCCCAAATTCAGAATAAATCAAACAGAGTATGACCAGTCATAAATGAGACCACAGATGATAGTTGATTTCACATTTATTTACTAACCAACTAAGAGGCTAATAGCCTGTGTTCCTATTCTGGCCACAGGGGATTAAAAACATCAGTCCTCCCCCCTTTTTTTTAAATTAGCCTGCTTTCTACCAAATGGACTGGGGAACTTGGGCCAATGCTGCAAGTTCACCTTCTCTGTAGTAAGAACAAAAACCAATGGCAGAGAAGTAACAGTAAGAGCCACCCCTTCTTTACCAACCTACTTGCCAATGTGGAATTGCCATCATCTAACATGAATATGCAGTTGCTTGTGGTGTTCTGGCAATTTGTGAAATAAATAGCTATGTAAAACCATGACAAACATTTATTTCTTGAACATTCCTTTTAGTTTTTTGTTTTTTAAATGAGTCAGCTTCTCCCTCATGAAGCAAGATATGTTCCCGAAATGACTTTGGTCTAAACCAGGGATGAGAACACATGACATTCTGGACTATAATCTCCAGCATTCTTCACCACTAGCTCTATTTCCTGGGGTTGGCAGAGTTGCAGTCATCAGATTTCCCATCACTGATGTGAACTAAACTGGAACCACAATATAGGTTATCTTTCATTCCTTTATGTCCTCTACCCAATCTGGCCACTGTTGGGTTGATCTATGCCACCAAGTCGCTTCCCAGTTTTGGTGAGCCTAACAGGGTTTTTGAGGTCTATGAGATGTTTAGAGTGTGGTTTACCATTGCCATTCCCCCATGAGCTTCCATGAACAAGTGGAGATTTGAAGCCAGGTCTCCTGAGTCCTAATTTGACACATTATCCCACTATATGACACTGCTTCTTAGCTTGGCCACAATGTGCATTCCTAAATGCTTTATTTCACTTGTCACAATTGCTTCATGGAATTCTATTACTCTTTTCTACAAACTGGCAAGAGATGACATGCAAAAATTATATGGCTATGCAAACATAAATACTACTTAAGCCAGTAAGCTTAAGTAGTATTAAGCTTCTACTGAGTGGAAAATCCAACCAGTGTGGCAACATAGGAGTGCACTGCTCCCATAAGCATTGTTGCACAAATAGTGATTTTTCCTAAAGAAAACCTGCTCTCTGCTTGTGAAATGGTAATGCCTGCACAAGCAGCACAATCTAACACTACTATGGCTTTTCATTCAATGGGAGCTCAATAAACTCCTGGCCTTTTCTCTTTAGCTGCCATCTTCTTTCTTTTCTTTTCTTTTCTGACTTGTGACTATTTTCCTGATTCTCCAAAGATCTATTATTCAGCTACATCTTTCATTTGGCAGCTTAAAAGATTTCAACAGTAGGATGCCAATGATTGTGAAGAGAAACCAAACCAAACTGGGTAGTGAACTGATTCCAGTTCTGCAAGGTCAAAGCAAGAGAAATTCAGGCACAGGACTATTTATTTCCAGGCTTTTCCCACAAGACATAAAAGTTACTCCTTAAAAAAAGTAACTGTTTTGGTCATATGTTCTGTATTTACACTCCCATGCACAGAGGTTGTTTGGGACTCGCATCAATCAAGAAAAGCAACAGTGGATCTCTTAGCTATGAAAGCACAAGAGGACAAAGACTCTTCTCAGCCACCTGCTCTTTCACAGATTTGTCCCTCCAAGTTCCAGCTATAGAATTCTTAAAGCCTTGACACATGATTCTATCAGCTGCCTTCAAAGAAGTGGGACACCTCTTATTTTACGGATAATGTTTGCCAGCCGCTTGGCTAGGCCTCCCTTCTTGGATTCTTCTACATGGAAGGTCCTGGTCAGCAGGTTATAGAAAGAGCCGTAACACACAGCAACCACAGTGCAAGTCAGGCAGATGACATTGTATGGCATACTGAAGTCTGGTGTCGGCAGGTTCACCAGCAGTGGCTCTGTATAAAGGCGCACAAAATAGCTGGAGCCATCAGAAGAAGGAAACCTGGAAGATTCAAAGGAAAAGAAGATCAGTTGAGGCCTTAGGTTTGGTCACTAATATGGCACAATCCTGGCATATAATCATGCCATTTCAGGCTATACATCTGGAGTTGGAAGAGGAAGGGAGATGGCATACCATTTTTTCAAGAAGTAGCTTCCAATTAAAAGTTTGTTTATGTATTTATTTATTTAATTTATACCCCGCCTATCTGGTCGGTGAGGACCACTCTAGGCGGCTGAATTTACAAGCTGAATTTCCATTTGCAAGGTTCTGACACATGATGTACTTTTAAAATATGCAACAATCACCCCACAATGTTCCGCACAAACACCTGGGCTAGTCTCCCATAATTCCAACCATTCAGAACCACCCAAGTTGGATTTTTAGAACTTTCATTTCCACATACACAAGATGTAGAAGAGATGGAGCTGCACTGAACACTAGGCTAAATTAAAACAACACAACATGTGATGGTTTTCCACTACCAAACACGGAAGCACTAGCAAAACAAGCACTAGAGCAAACTCTACCTAGGTCCAGAGGAAGGGGGCCGCCAACCCACAGGCTCAGTCTAGTCCACTGGTTCTTAACCATGAGTCCCCAAACATTCTTGGACTGCAACTCCCAGAAACTTTCACTACTAGCTGTGCTAGCAAGGGCTTCTGGAAATTGCAATCCAAGAACATCTAGGGACCCAAGGTTGGCAACCACTGGTCTAGTCCACAGTTGCCTGGAATCTACCCACCGAAGGTGAAATACCTTTCCCATGCCCCACCTCCTCACTTGGTGATCTCTAATAAATGACTGGAGATAACATTGAGCTCCTTCTGCCCTGCTCATATATAACCCTGCCTTTGGGAAAGTGAACAGAGGGGGAAGGCATTCAGCAGATGCTGTGGAACTGTTGCCAGACATATAGACATTAGTCTTTACAAATTGTCTGATCTCATATAAGGCAATTTCTGGCATTCAACAGAATTGCAACAGTCAACAGTAGAAGTAACTATCTCTCCGATGCTACACAAATAATTATCACTCTCCTCTGTTTAGCAGTTTTCAGTGTACTCACAGTGAAGCAAAGAGTGGGCTTAGATCTTCCTCTTCCTCTTTCATTGCAATTACACTTGGTACCATGGCACTCAGGACAGACGGGCTACACACCGAGAGAGATGACAATAGCATTAGCCCTTCTGAGGAAATAAGTGACCATGTTGTCTCCCCAAGGCAATAAGGCCAGACTCATGGTATACAAGCGCAGATAACGCCTGGCTGAGGCTAGCTTTAGCCTTACCTCACATAGAAGCCGTGGTTGGGGTCAGGAGTATATTCTGTCCACTTCAGCAAGGCTCTCTCAAACTGGATGGTGATCTTTGTGACAGAGTTTGCTGGCAGCTGAATCAGCATCTCCAGGAGATGGGGCCGCTGTCGGTCCTGAGCCGGCTGATAGTGGATATAGCCTAGCACCAAAGACATGCACTTATATCACACAACACTTTGTCAAAAACATTTTAAATGCCTGCCTCAATGTTCACATGATGCCTTGAGGAAGGCTCTTGCACAGGTCTGACTGACCTTCCCAGCACCTTTGCTGTGGCTTTGGGAAAGAGAATAAACTTAGGTCACCTTGTACCTCTCCGGCAGCTTCTTTTTTTCTTTTTAGAAGAAAAGCTCATGTGGACTCAGATTAAGCATTGTTGTTGTTATGTGCCATGAAGCCGTCTCCAACTTATGGTGATCCTATGAATGATCAATCTCCAAAGTGCCCTGTCCTCAGCAGTCCTGCTCAGCTCGTGTAGTCTCATAGCCAAGAAGTTTTTAAAAAAAGTTCTATACCCAGTTACATGGGGAACAAGCTAAGTGGATTCAATGGGATTTACTTCCAGATGGCTATCAAGATTGGAGTACCCAGCAGCCATCACACACATATCTATTCAGATGTAATTGGGATCTTAGATTTAAACAAACCAGGACCTCAAAGCCAAAGCCAGCATGTAATGGGAAGATTGATGAAGGAATGTATTGACTCATTATTTGTACCTGGCTTCATAAACCATGGCTTCTGAAATACCTGGTTGTAACAAACAGTTTTGCTACACTCAGGCCAAACTTCAAGCTCTAAGTACTCATGGGAACATACTACACACAAGTGGAGCATGGCAAGGAAACAGGGAGTATATAGTGACATATGCCACTTTCTTTGTAAGACAAGGCATTCTTTCCTCCAGCTAGGATAGCAAGATATGAGTAGGCATGTGTTAGGAAGAAGTTAAATCTTACTTGGCTTGTTCTCCTTTCCTTTTGTGATAATGGTCAGTGTATGGATGTAGAGCCTCAGATACCAGGGCACTGTCTCCAGCAGTAGTACAGGGTAAGCCCTGTACGGGTGTGAGTTATAAATTAGGGTGCTGATTTCTCCTGTCTGAAGACCATAGCCACTCACGTAGCGCTGAGCATGGAGAACAGGTGCTGGCAAATCCACTGCAGGAAGGAAATTTAAACCAAGTTAAAAATTGGACTTTGGCAGCAGAATCAAATGCAGCGCCTTCCCAGAGATGGTGGATAGAACAGTTCCAGTTACTGACTTCCCTATTAAACAACAACACTCCAGATCCTACTCTGTAGGGAAAGTCCTTCTTGAGAGGCTCTTACAATGTACTTCTGCTTGCAATATGAATTCCATCAGCCCAACTGAAGGTGTGATTCCTTCCCCTCCAGCACCTTTGTATTCTGCTACAGATGGTAAATCTTCAAGCAGTGCAAAGGGCACTGAGGGACTGAGTCTAGCTGCTGGGTGCATGTGCCTGTTTCTCTCTCCTTATTGGGTGGGTCTTCCCTCTCTCCCATTCCAAAAGGTAATGGTTATTGTCCTATTTCCACTTATGCAAAGTAAGCAACACACCATTTGCTGATTTGAGTGCTATCCCAGAATAGACAACTTTAGGCTTCCAGGATCTACATACTTTTGACTTTGTTGTTGAGTGCTTGTTTGTCTACTAGAGTCCAGACATTCATCTGTCGAGGGGTCTGGATGCAAAAGGCATTCTCTGGGAATTAAAGAATTCTGAGTCAAAGAATTGATCTTAAATACCAGAACTGAATGGAGCTCATTGACCATCTATCAAATAGTTAAACTTTGTATGTATAGGGTGTTGAAATAAGGTGGTGCAGAACTGAATGGAGCTCATGGACCATCTGTCAAATAGTTAAACTTCGTATGTATAGGGTGTTGAAATAAGGTGGTGTAGAAGAAGCAGCCCTAAAAAGTGAAGGTGCTTTTAAAATTGAGGGTTGAACAAAAGTTGACTCCCCTCCCCCAAGTTTATAAATTTCTGTAGGGTTCTTAGGGAGAGATGATCAGAACCCCTGACCTGACACTTCCATGAAAAAATCCACTCCTGATTACTTCCAGCCTTTTCTCTCTCATTTCATTTCATTCCCATCTAGAGTGGGAACGGAGTAGTTTTATTGTTCCACTTGTTAACTTGAGAGTCAGAACTCCAAGGCAATCTCCTGCAAATTACCCAGTTCTTCCAGAAGATCCAGATTTATCATCCGCCCATTGTTATTTTGGCCATTTTTTCTGTTTGAGAGAGAAGTAATAAATCTAAAGTACTGGAGTGCCAATACTGTCAGTAGATGGCAGCTTCTTTTGAGATGTCTGCGATTACTTAAAAAACCCCTTCTCTTAGTGATCACAATAAGATTTAAATTCAATCAGCTACCCCTGGGATAACATGAATTTAGAATTACTATGATGCTTTTACGATAATCCACACAGAAAAAATATAACAGCTCAGTACAAACCATTGAGATCAGAATGTACAACACAATTCTGTCCTATGCAACTATTACCCATCTGCAAAAGGTCAAAGAGAAAACAGCAGCATTAAAATTGGGAAAGCCATTGATCACTCACAGACATCTTGTGGTCTCTTCCACTTTAACTGGACGTTGAGGCTACGAGACCCATTGAAGAGTGCTGGATTCAGGAGGTCATATACGGCATAAGTTCTCCTGTCCCCTTGAACAGATGCTTCATGTACAGATGAAGGAGCTGGGGAAACCTCTAGAAGCTGTTTCTCCTGAAAATAGAATCAATGGCATTTCAAGCCACCAGAGTGACAGCCAGTCTAGTAGCATGCAATTTACATCATAAGGCGATCTGGGTTCTTCACATGTATTGCCCTACAGCTTCAAAAAGCTCCAGCCAGCACAATAACTGTGGGACTTTTTGTCCAAGACATCTGGAAAGCACCAGCTTTGTCTACAAACATCTCCCTTTATGTGAATAACCAACATGCAGCAGGGGAGGGATCACCTTTATTTACCCGGCCCCAGTCCTAAACTATGTGCCTCAACATATTTGAAAGGGGAACATAAGAACATAGTGTCATGTGCACAGAGGATCTCCAGGTAATCAGGAAACCCAGTGGCACAGTGTTCCCATTCAGGCAGAAAACCTGCTTCGATACACAGACTTTCTATTCAAACACAGCATCAAAGTATCTGTGTTGGGGAGCGTGTCTAGGAAGGCATGGTCAGTTATCATCTCCATTGCTGGAGGAAAGCTAAGAGGGGCTAATATGAATAGCTCCTAATTTTCCATTCTCAAGGGTTTGATATGAAGAACACAAGCAATTATAACTGTCTGCTTAGATTTCCTCCTAAATCATAAACATCATTGGGTAATGTTGGGATACTCATCCTCTCTTAGACTAACCTACCTCACAGGAATGTTGTGAGAATATGGTGGGTGTGGAAAGCCATGCAAACCACCTGGAGCAATTTGGAGGAAAGTCAGGATATAAATGTAACAAATAAACAATATGGGTTGAGCTCAGTTGTATCAGGAGCTTCTATTCAGAGTATTTCACTCAAGTAACAACAACAACAACAACAACAGTGTGCCATCGAGTCAACTGGCACTTAGGGTGACCCTTTCCAGGCTTTTCTAGGTAGAGAATACATGGAAGTGGTCTACCATTCCCTTCTTCTGGGACTATGCAGCTTGACCATGACTACATAGGCTGGCTCTTCTCCTGGGAGATACTGGGGAGTTGAACTCCCAACTTACAACTCCATGGTCAAATATTAAACTACTGAGCTACCCAGCCGGGTCACCCAAGTAAAGCTCCAGGTAAACTGCATTCCAGATGACAGAGTGGTCCAGTGGGCCAGATAGGCAGGGAGGTCACCCAAGTAAAGCTCCAGGTAAATTGCATTCCAGATGACAGATGACAGAGTGGTCCGGTGGGCCAGATAGGCAGGGTATAAATCAATCAATCAATCAATCAATCAATCAATCAAACAAACAAACAAAAACCCTGCAGAAACAACAGAAAATGCTCAAGACAATGAGCACAACATAGAAGGTCTAGCTTTACGAGAAGGCAGCTGAAAAAGGAATGTTACCTGGCCTCTACTGGAAATGTCCTACAGAAACAACAGAAAACGCTCAAGACAATGAGCACAATATAGAAGGTCTAGCTTTATGAGAAGGCAGCTGAAAAATGAATGTTACCTGGCCTCTACTGGAAATGTCAACATAGACCTTACTCTGGGATGCCAGAGGGCACGCTTCAGTAAGAGTGCGCGAGAAAATCTTAAAGAGGGACCAATCTGTAGAGAGAATCACATGGTTATTAATTGAAGAGACGCGTATGGACCAACAATCATAGACAGATTGATGATTTGAGTTACCTTTCTTTCCATGGCCACTGGCAAAATAATCAAAGACAACAGTGAGAGTCTGTCTGAGTTCCCATGACACGCTCAGGCAAGAGGCATCCTGACAAAGAAGATCAAAGAAAATTCTCTCTATATATTTTAAGTGTAATACACTAAAACTATAAAACTGCAGCAATTCAAGTATTACAATATTACCTTCCCCAAAAGAAGGATTTTTCACTTCTAAAAATCCTAAAGAAGACAGTAGAGATACTTCTCAAATTACATGTCACTATATATAAATTGATACCCTGCTTTTTTGCACTAAGAGGTACTCAGCACATTTTAGAAAGCATCAGGTTGATAAGTATACTGAATTTTTATGGGCATGTGGCCATTTCCCATTAGATGCGGACCTTGTCACATATGCAGGAGAATTTTTTACCAGCACCTTGTCTCCAGCTTAAACTCTTCTTTGAAACCGAGGCTGGCCAGCCAACAGAGCTCATGAACTTGAGCAAAGCTTGCAGAGCAACACTGTTGCCCAAAACTCAGGCTACATCTGGAGCACGGTATGCCGACTGGGCTCATGTGTCCTTGAGAAACATGCCTGATCCAGTGAGATGCGTTTAACAGGGAGGGGAACACTGAAGCCTTCACAAGCATGCATTGTGCATGCAGATTACATGCCCAAGGAGGAGCAGAGTAGGTCAACCTTTCTGCCATTATTTCTGGAAGCCCTGACCCTCTGTCATCTTCTCCCATTGCATTCAAAGCACTGAGGATGCAGGAGCTCAGCAACACTTAAACTGCAAAACCTCTACAACGGGAAACAGAGCCTCCAGCCATGGCCAAGGTTCGTTGCTTCAGAATCTACCTTGCACTCCTGGAATAGTGACAAAACTAGAAAGAGGCAGGGCTAGAACATCCACATACATTTTCCTACATGCGAAGCACAACCCTCAAGAGGGTTTCACACTTGAATGAACTTCCTCACTTTACAGCAGATAGTGATGGACAAGCACTCTGTATACTATCTGTAAGTAAAGCAGGAATCCTCCCTCCTTTGATTCTAAAGTGACCACAATTAAAGAACTGATTTCAACTTAAAAACCTATTGTTTGTACTTCACACATTTTCTAACACTATTTATTCAGTTCAGATGAAACAGATGGCAGATGCAGCAAGAGAACTTACATCACTGCATGGTATGGATAGAAAAATGTGTTGTTCATTTTCTATTGCATTTGGTTTAACCTTTAAGTTCTTTCCAGCCTGGATAGGAAGCTGTGTGCAAATGTTAGCAAATTATCCAAAAACAAACTGCAGCCAATTTCCCCTAATTTGCCCTGACCAAAGAAGTAAAACAGTTCCCAGCATTGGGAGGACCACATTGTGCCTGCCGGATACAAAGGTGTTAAAAATCAGGAGTCTCTCAGAAAACAAGACAAAGAAGACAAAGCAACGCTATTCCAGTGGTAACATAGCCAGATGCCCAAGGATGGACAAAGCATCCAGAGACACAAAGGAAACGCGCTTCCGGCCACTTGACAGTGGCATCTGTATGGCCAGACTCACCCTGCAGATGGGACGGATGTGCATGGCCTGAGAGTGATAACTGCTGTGGAACAAGTGCTCAGCTTTCAGCAGAACAGCCAGGCCAGCCTGGAAAAGGCAAAAGACATTATGGCCAAACTTCTGCCCTGGTTCCCTCCACTGAATAAACACACACAAGCCTAGCAATTATGCACTCTGTGATAACTGGCCCCTGAAATTACAAGTTACTAAAACAGGAGTAGGCAGCTTTGGTGGGGCTGAGGGCCCGATTTTCCTCTCCATATTTTTCTCCTGCCCTCCCCACAAATGGCAAACATTTAGAAAACCAGAATGAAAGCAGATAGTCACCAAACATCTATTTTTGTTTTTGATGCTGTGGTATGGAGGAGACTCTGGACCTTATGCTCTTCCACTGAAAAGCCCACCACTTCTGAATGCTGCCCACTCTCATTTTTCAGAACACCCCTCCCACCCCCCAGAACATATAAATGACTGGACTGTACTAGGTTTGTCTCTGCATGAAGAGAAAGGGATGCTGGTTCTTGGCTGCACATCTAGGTGACAGTAGGCAGGCCCTCACCTTTGAGCTGCATGGTAACAGCTTCTTCCAGGGGGTGAGGTTCTCAGTACAGACAACTTCACGAGGCAGGACAGCATATCGTAGGAACTCATGATCTGTAACTGATACATGCATGAATCAAACCACTTGGCAGAGAACAACGGAGCAAGGTAAGGGATTGCCTTCTTCATGTTATTGTTGTTATGTGCCATCAAGTCGCCTCTGACCTATAGTGACCCTATGAATGAGCTACCTCCAAAATGTCCTGTCCTCAACAGACCTGCTCAGCTCCTGCAGTGGCAATCCCATGGCTTTCTTTGGGGAGTTTGCCCATCTTATATGTGGTTTTCCTCTTTTCCTGCTGCCTCCCACCTTTCCCAGCATTATTCTCTTTTCCAGAGAATCCTGCCTTCTCATGATGTACCCAAAGAAGAACAGCTTCAGCTTCAAAATGCACCCTTGTCTTACACCTTTGCCTGCAGGAAACCATTCTGTCTCTCTATATTCTGTCCTAACAATAGCTTCTTGTCCACAATACAAGTTATTCAACAGAAGAATCAAATGCTGAGGCACATCCATTTGTTTCCTAATGTAACCCATACAGTAGTTTCTTATGATCTACAATGTCAAAGGCTTTGCTGTAGTCTACAAAGCATAGACTCAGGGCTTGAACATTTTCAGAATGTCTCACCAGTCACTCAAAAATTTCACCAGTCAGCATGACCAGACTGTAGCCTTCCAATTTATGTTTAAACTCAAATTTAAATTTAAACTAGGCACTTTCTACATAACAATGCGCACAAACCCAAAATAAATATACCCTCAGACTTGGGTTGCTTTATTACCTGCGTGCCTGTGGGGTCATGAAGTTTGTATTTTGAATGCCTTTCTTTTGAATGTCTCCAGCAAAAATAAAACTGAAAGCAAAAATGCCAGCCTCTTAAGGAGCCGGGTCATTTGGTTGAAATTCGGAGCAGGGAATCTCCATATTCTCCAGCATGGGACTACTCGACATTCTCCTGCAGAGCTATATCTCTATGTGCCACTCAAACTCTCTTCTTGCGAGAAGAGGGCTATTTTTCCTTCTGCAATGGGAAGGGGGAGGGGAGGACTGCAGGATCAGAGAGAGAGACTGACCGAGGGTAAGGAGGCAAAGAGGGAGAGAGGGAGGGAGGAAGGGAGCTGTGGCTTGTCAGGCAGCGTTTTTTCACTCATCACAGACGAGTGGATTTTTCAAGCCCTGCATAGACTGGTCTTCTAAAATTCTCTGGTGCTCTCTGGTAACCAGAGAATATTTGCAATGTGATCTTGAGTGTAGTGCCGCTTCCTTTTTAAAATCCAGCTTGAACATCAGACATTTCTTGCTCCATATAGGGGAAATATCTTTGTTGAAACATCTTGAGCATCATTTGTACTTCTTAATGTACAAGTATCAAAGAAAATAAACAACATCAAAGCATCTCAGATTTGACGACTCAGAGCTGGAGAACTATGTTCACCCCCTCACCAACAATAAAACTGATTACGTATTCTCCACAATGTACTATTCTCCTGCCGTATCAAGGCATGCAGGTGATCCTGGCCTCCTGAAGGTTCTGTTAGTGGATCACAAGGTCCAGAAGGGTTATCAGGCTGTTAGACTTTGAGTACAGCCCTGGTGGCAGACAATGTGCCTGCCATCTGAAGACCTGCCTGGCTTAAGTTGGACAGTCCCTTTGCTAGAAGGTTAACCAACAAATAATGGAATCCTTCAGAAGTGGGGACTCATACTTTTAAAAATGGAGCCCAAAATCCCCTAGTGAAACCATGAACATAAGAGTAATTATGCAGTGGGTTTCCCTCTCAAGTGGGTTGCCATTCACATAACCAGTTGGCATGCCTAATACCAAAACTGGTTTGTGACCAGTCTCACAAAGAAGACTTTGAGGGATGCCACAATGCTTATGCAACTGATTTTACATGGCCACATAAGGAAATAGGATTCTTGCCATGATACATAAAGTCCACCCAGCACCATAACCAAAGTCAGCTTCTTGAAATATCTGGCATCACATCTTGCCTCTATTCACGGATACATTTGGCACTTGTAAGTCATTTAGACTGTAATTCCTCCAATCCATGGAGGGTGTAACTGATGTGGTTTGTAGGGTAAATCAACTGGAGGGCTAAGGCTCCCTTTACTTGTCCACTAAGTGGCCCCAAAAAGTCCAACGTAACAAGAATACTGCTACACAAGATGGTTCTATGAATTACTGTGCTATGTGCATGGACTGCAAGTATCCAATGAAAACACACTGGAATTAATGACAAATCTTTGGAGTTTTGATGCTCTTTTTAAACTGCTATGTTTGCTGACTGTCAGTGTTTCAGCTTCTGCCAGTTCCCTCTTTTCTCCCTACAAACATATTTCCGTATTTGTAAAGATTTGTTGCTAGATTTTAAAAACATTCTACTGTTATATTTTAACTGGTACAGTGGTGCCTCGCTTAGCGACGTTAATCCGTTCTGGAAAAAACGTTGCTAAGCGAAAACATCGCTAAGCAAAATAAAAAAGCCTATAGAAACGCATTAAAACGCAATTAATGCATTCCTATGGGCTTAATAGGGACGTGGTGGCGCTGCGGGCTAAACCACAGAAGCCTGTGCTGCAGGGTTAGAAGACCAAGCAGTCGTAAAATCAAATCCACGCGACAGAGTGAGCTCCCGTTGCTTGTCCCAGCTCCCGCCAACCTAGCGGTTTGAAAGCATGCAAATGCAAGTAGATAAATAGGGACCACCTCGGTGGGAAGGTAACAGCGTTCCGTGTCTAAGTCGCACTGGCCATGTGACCACGGAAGATTGTCTATGGACAAAACGCTGGCTCTATGGCTTGGAAACGGGGATGAGCACCACCCCCTAGAGTCAAAGACGACTGGACAAAAATTGTCAAGGCGAACCTTTACCTTTACTTTATGGGCTTAAAACCTCACCTTTAAGCAAAAATCCTCCATAGCGCCGTCATTTTCACTGCCTCTTAAGCGAGGAAAAACAGCAGGTGGCCATTTTGTTTTCCCAGTGGCCATTTTGAAACCGCCGATCAGCTGTTAAAAAAGGGTCGCTTTGCCATGATCGCTTCCCCGCGATCATCGCAAAGCAAAAAAACCCCATAGGGACCATCACAAAGCGATCACTTTTGTGATCGCAAAAACTCCGTCGCTAAGCGATTTCGTCGCTCAACGGAGCGATCGCTATGCGAGGCACCACTGTATTATCTAACAGCTTAAAGATGTGCTTTATAAGGCATTTAATTAACATGAAGAAGAAGAGGAAGAGGAAATAATAATACCTTAGAACTGTAGAAATGGAAGAGAAATAAGTACAATTTCTTACCATTTGCCAATCCCAGAGGTTTGAAGGATGCTGTCGGAGTGACAGTATTGGTAGAATCAATGAAGTTCAAAGAGGCACAGAATATACCTGAGAGGATATTACTCAGGTCTTTCCAAGCTTTGTCAACACTGCATGGGGAAAATGTATCACAAGCAGTTATAATATATATACAGAGAATGTGCCCCAAACAGACAGGGGTTTTTTGGGTTTGTTTGTTTTTTGGTAAACCTTTTAAAATTTTTCTTAAAGTTTTAAGCTGAGATCATGTGCACCATGTTCAGTGCCATTTGAGTGGCAGCATATAAACTCTGGCCTTCACTCCAATTTGCTAAGTATGCAACAGCAGACATGCATAGCAGTAATATATAAGAACCAGTCACACTGATAGTCTGTGTCATCAGACGTTTCATAAATTATCCACTTCAGCCTTCCAAACTTTGGTGCTCTCTGCCTATAATCCCATATCACCCTATCAACAATTAACAAGCTGGGAATGATGGGAGCTGTAGTCAAACCCATTAGAAATGGGGAAGGCTAATCTACTCTGTAAATAATGAGGCAGAAACATTTCAGTCCTTCTTGAGAAGGCCTCTGACTTAGATACTTAGATGTCATGGTCTGTCTCGGCAGTCTTTGGCTGAGTGCAGAAGAGGACATGAGAGACATTAGAACTAGGGTAAGGGATGGATGGTTGTTGTACTACAACTTCCATCACCCCACATAAGCACTGTCAATGATAAAGAGTGATGGAAGTTGTAGTCCAGCAAGATCAAGAGGCATCCTAGCATGAGAAGCTGAGTGTTTATGACGCGAACCCCTTCTGCAAAATTAAACCATACAATCATTGCCTTCACGTGACAACCGTCTGAAAGACATTTCGTTCATGGGCATACATCAGGAAGACAGGAAGAAAAAGTATAACCACTTTCATACACTGGCGTTAGTTTATGGCTAGAAGATTGCAGAAGAAAATCACCAAGAAATGAAAATAGATAATTAGTTTCATACACTGGTGTTAGTTTATGGCTAGAAGATTGGAGAAGGGGTTAAATCACCAAGAAATGAAAATAGATAATTATAAGCAAACCCATGTAACACGATATTTAACAAGAACAAACTGAATGTAGATATAGTGAAAAACTAATACATTAAAAAAAAGATTATCGAGGAGCCATTTTTCCAGCTAAAGCAACAAGAGTCAGTCATTGGCCTTCCAGAAGTTTTACATTTCATGTCTGGAACACCTTGCAGCCTAGAGGTCCTGGGAGTCCAAACATCTGGAGGGGCAGTATATATTATCGAGGAGCCATTTTTCCAGCTAAAACAGCAAAAGTCAGTCATTGGCCTTCCAGAAGTTTTAGATTTCATGTCTGGAATACCTTGCAGCCTAGAGATCCTGGGAGTCCAAACATCTGGAGGGGCAGGGGTTGAAAACCGCACTAAAAAGGAAGCTGAGGCACTTACTCAGTGACAGAGTCCTGGAACCAGACCCAAAGCTCAGCCCCAGCAGGAGCTTGCAAGTAAGGCTGCCCCCAGCTCCGAGTGCGCCAGAAGCCCTGAGTGAGGGAGAGATGCAACTCGCGCACTGAGTATTTGGAAATGAGCTGTCCCAGTGCTTTAGGGAAGAGCCGGTAATGAGAGACTAGAGGGAGCAGAAAAGAGCAGATGTTAGAATATCCACCGTTTTCTTCCAGTTGTTCCTAGCCCAACCCACTCCCCCCCCCCGGTGCTGCTCATTGCGATATTTCAACCTGGGTAATGAGTGCCATGTGACAGTAGGACCCTGTACAACTGAGCATCTTAACTCTCAAGCTGTGTTGGTTGACACTCATCCATTCTTTATGCAGTTGGTTCTTAAGGCAAGATGAGGATTCTTTTTCTGTTCGCTACCCGTACTCTCGGTGCATCCCCAGATTTGTACCATGGGAGTTGGAAGGCATGTTTGCGTGCTAAAACAGGATAGAAAACTTTTGGTCTTTCAGAATTTTTTAGGGCTGCAACTCCTACAAACCTTTACTATTGACTGTGCTGACTAGGTCTTTTGAGAGATGAAGTTTTAACAATCTGGAAAACCAAAAGTTCTGTGTCATTTTGTTAAATCATAGTTTAACATCATGTGGATATGCTTAAGTAAGTCTAAGTGAATCATCAAGCTTGTGCCACACACACACACCCTCCATGTAACCAGGTGTAGGATGAAAATTGTAATCTAGAAACATTCCCACCCATCACAACCTACCCAACCTGGTATCATTCGTACACAGAAGTTAGCCCTAGTTTATATATACGGAACAATATACACTAGTATAGGCCTTGTTTATGTACAGCATATGTTCTGATTTGATTTAGGAGTTGATTTTAATGCTAATTCTATTTTATATGTTTTATTATTATTTTGTTAACACTCAGAATAGTATTATGCACTAAAGGGGTGATACATAAATGAAGTAAGCAAATCAGTAAGCAAATAAATAAGAGATCTCACCCTATTTATATAAATTAGCTCTCTCTATGTAAACTGCTATGAATATTCACCTGAGAGGAAAAGAAGTTTGTGTGTGGCCTTACTTTTCTCTCTGGTGAACCGACTGCTTACAAAAGGCAGAGAGGAAATCAGAGTCCAAGACTCTTCATGTTTTCAATGAAACACTGCAACCGAAAAAAACTCGCTTCTCTCAACGAGATAAGCGAGCGAGAGAGAGAGAGATTGTACGACAGTGGTTCAGAGTATCACCCTGGGATTTGGGAGTTCTGGGTGCAAGTTATTCTCCGCTTGTCCTACCCCACAGGATTGTTGTGTGGAGGAAATCGTGCTCGTTGCCTTGAGTCACTGGAAAAAAGGCAAGAGGCCGACGTAGCAAATCAGGAAACAGTCTTGCTCCCCAACCTCAAAGCAGCCCCGCACTCCGCGTTGCCCGTTCCTGCCCATTACCGTCTCCTCGGCGCAGGTCGGAATCCCAGCGCGTCCGGAACTGGAAGGTCGCGGCCACATCCCCGGAGGGCAGCGGGCTGAGCAGCAACTCCTCGCGCAAGGAATCCCGCGGAGGCTCCGCCGCGCTCCTTCCGGACACCAACAAGAGCCCCAGCACCACCTCGACCAGCACCATGCTCATCTCGCCCCCCCCCCACCACGGCGAAGGTCCTCCTCCCACAGCCCGGTTCCCGGTAGCCAATCAGAAGCAGCCGAACGACCACCAAGTTCCAAAGTTCCGCCTCGGCGGTCCCAACAGCCAATGAAAGGTTTCTCTAAGAGTTCGGCAACTACAGAGATAGAAATAATAAAGAGCGATATCTATTCCTGTGGATAGCCATCTTCCGGGCTCACAAATAAACTTTTTCTAATCATCGCTGATTTGGAAAAACAGAATAACCGCGACAAAAGCTTAACATCGGCTTTGAGAATGTGCGTGATCCGGTGCCGTATCCTCTTGATTCTGCCTCATGGCACGGGGTCGTTGACTTTAACGCTGCTTACTATCAAAGAGATATAGTGTTAGAGGCTAAGATTTTCTTGGATCGAGAGGGAGCTCAATTCTAATTTATTCTATTCTTTCCCGAACTATGATGACATGAAACTCCTTGCATGAAAGAAGCAGCAAGAAGATTCAGAACTAACAGTTGCTGTTAGAAGACAATTGAAAAATCAGTTATCCTTCCATTACCGTGCCTGGCCACCAGCAGATCCACGGAGAAAGAAATTTAAAAAAAGGCAATAATGAAATGAATTCTGATTCTTTCTAATTGAATTTCAACTTAATATGAATATTTTAAAGCTGGCGTTTGCTTTTTACAATACATGCAAATTCCAAACTATACATTGCAGGTTTAGAGGTGTATTTGAGAGAGGAACGTGCGACCGCTTGGTAAGTATTTTGTTAATGCTACAGTTTGGAAACTGGATTGACCATAGCAAACAAAATCCTGCCAGGCTATTGAAGGCTGAGACCCCAGGGTACAGGTTGAGAGTGTGGGGCTAAGAAAGGTTTATAGCAGGCTCTTAATATTGCAACTAAGAGTGAAAGGAATGGGGTTTAGAATAGCCAAACCTCCACACATTAACTGTCCTTGTATCAAAAATTAATTTAGCTTTTTAAATTATCCCTGAAGGGTCCTTTCCCAAAATTTAGTATGCATTTCCATGCAGCACTCTATATTATGCTTGCATACATATCACCATCACCAGCATCTTAAAACTGCAGAGCTGGAATGGATCCTATGAATCATAGAATCAGCCCCTGTCAAGGAGGCACAGTGGGGAATCGAACTCCCAACGTCTGGCTAAACCACTGAGCTATTTCTTGTTATATGGGTGCTTGCAAGAGGTGGTAGGAAGAGTCAGGGCATTCCAGTTCATGTCTATTTCACTGGTAGGATATTAAGGTCTGTGAATCGGGCCCACCTAGTATCTGCTTGCCACGTTTTATGGACAAGGCCTCTACATTTAACAAGTCTGTAAGAGCATAAGAAGCAACGTGTTTGTTGGAGGGCAGTTCCCATAGTTGTGCACCACTGATATGTTGGCTGGGGTTGATGGCAGTTATAATGTGACAACCTTGGGAGGGCAACAAGATGCTCACCTTGTGTAAAGTGCAGATCTAAATGGCTAGCGAGTTTCTCAGGCGCATATGGGGAAAAAATTACCTTGTGGTTTTGACATTCTACACCGGACCACCTCTGAAGAGCATTCAGAACTTCAGCTGGTTCAAAATGCTGCAACTGTTACCTCAAATGGGTTCCTGTTCTTTATATCCTGGGGAGAGAGACCATGAGAGGAGAGAGCGAGAGCCCAGCCAGACTACTGACAAGAAGACCATACACCAACAATTTTGGGTTAAGCACTATTTATGTAACATTTATTGATGAGACATAAGACATAGGATGTAAGATGTACTGTAAGAGGCCTCTCTTTCATACTTCCCATTCAAAAGGTACCAAGAGGCCTCTCTTTCGTACTTCCCATTCACACAAGATATACTCTCTTATCCAGAAGGCCCTTCTCTGAGGTTGATCAATCCTCAGAAAGGGTGATGGGGGGGTCGTTCCAGCGCTGTTCCAAAGCCCACCTGTTTCTTCCTGGGTCATCTTTCTTACAGGTCTTTTCCTTGTGGGCTGTGTTAGTGGGCTAAACCTGGGCTGGGACGGGGGGGGGGGGGGACAATCTGTTGTCCTGCAGGAATGCTTCCTTTCATGTGTAGTTTGTTCCATCTGCCACAGACTTGGCTTCAGCTAGCCTGCTTCCTGCTTCTTAAGCTTGCTTTCTCCAGTTTTAGTTATATTTGGACTTCTTGCTCCCATTCACTTCCCTCTTGTCTGGGCACAACAAGTGCAAAAATCCAAACCTTTGCCCACACAGCGGTCTCTTATTAATAACGAAACAGTCTCTGTCTGCAACTTGCATCTTCTTTTGAAGCTCTGTATTAGGCACACTATCCCATCTTCCCTTACGATTTCTCCATCTTCTCAGGTCTGGGGTGCTGGTCTTTCTGGAACCCACGCACACTCTGTCACACACTGTCACTCATAACACAACCACATTACAGATGGGCACTTATTTCAGGGGGTATATAGCCACCCTATTAAAACAGCTTCACTCACTGTCAGTAAGGTTGTGCCATTCAGGGCAGGGAGGGTGTTGGACTCTCAGCTACCAGAATTCTCCAATAATTCCCCAAGCAGAATTCTGCAAGTTCCTGCCTACAGACACCTATAATAATAATCACATACAGTACAATCAAATCAATTCTGACTTATGGTAACCCTCCTCAGGGTTTTCCAGGTAGAAAATACTCAGAACTTTGGTTTACCATTTACTACTTCTGGGGGCATCCTGAGACTATGCAGCTTGCCCAAGGCCACACAGGCTGGCTCTATTCACAGAAGGCGCAGTGGGGAATTTATTTATTTAATTATTTATTTATTTATTTATTTATTTATTTATTTATTTATTTATTTATATCCCACCTATCTAGCCAACTCAGGACCACTCCACAGCCGGGTACCTAAACTACTGAGCTATCCAGCCAGCTCCAGACACCTATATACACCTACCTTTCACTCACCTGGAACAGGCCCCATATTCTTGGTTGTCTCGGGCGTACTTATACTGTATATAGAAAAAGAAAACCGCCCCAATGCTTCCTCACCTAGGTCCTTGTCGGAAGTGTAGTCTTCCTGTCTCTTAAGCTCTATAGAGGGCACCCACTAGGACCTAGGCTTTCCAGGAGATATTAGGGCAGTTTCCTTTTTGTACAGAAAAGAGGCCAAGACAGCCTAGAGGACAGGGTCTGTTTTAGGTGAGTGAAATGTAGGTGTCTGTGGTGTACAGTATATCTGTGGACAGATAATCCCATAATTCTACTGAAGGAATGTTTTAGAAATTCTGGGAATTGGAGTGGAAAATCCGCCCAAATGGTGCCCTCCTAGCTGCCTGTCTTGAGGCTCAGTTCTGATTATTAATTTAAAGCCCTATATGGTTTGTCTGTAGGCTAACTGAGGGACTGCATCAAAGGAATATTATTTTCTTAAACACAGTTTTAAGTAAACGAACCATTTCTTAGTACAGCCTGTGTGAGGATGGGACGAGTTTTAGGTTCCGTGCCACCATTCCCATCTTGTAGCCCGGAACAGGCTGTTTTCTGCTTAACAGTTGGTTCTCTAAAGAAGATCCCTTCTCAGACGAACCTTGTTTTGGCTTTAAGAGAAGGCTTTGTAGATCTTTAGAATTCCATGGATTTGAGAGGGCCAAGCAGAATGCATGTTTTCTCCTGCAATTTTTAAAACTGCTGACCTAGAATATTATCTCAGCAAATTATTCAAGGACAAGCATTTAACTAAGAATTAATCAAACTGAGAGGTAATCATACTCATCCATAAGAAATGCCAAGGGAGGACACTGCGTGGTAATTGAAATAATAGGTTTTATTAGGATTAACCAGTGTTTGATATGAGGTGAACAACTTTTGAATAACCCAAAGAGCTTCTTCAGGTGTGATGGTTTAAAAGAATTTTAGAAATAAAAATACAGTATCAGTCTATCGATATACAGGCATGTGTTAAAGCTAGTTCACTGTTGCCTACAGGTCTCTTCCTTAAACTGGAAGAAGTCTTGCATATATATTTACTCAGCATTCTGTTCATTTCAGTAGAAGCCTACTTAGATTTGCAGCCTCCAGTAGCTTAAAGCAGAGATGGGGAATAAGCAGTCCTCCCCTCATCCCTCACCATTGCCCATGATAGAAGATGGAAGTTGTAGGCTGCAAACATCCAGAGAGATAACATGTTTGAAGCTAGGACATTTGCTTAATCCTGAAGGCCTTTAGCCTGGGTATACTTTCCACTTCTCCAGAGATCAGCGTAAATAGAAAACAAAGATTTCTGTGTTGACCTGTAAGATCCATAGTTGGGAAAAATCTTGATGGTGGCAAACAAAAAAGCTACAAAAACATTTGCACGCTTTCAAGTTGTGCAAAATTTTGACTTTTGTATGTCGTTGTAACCCAATGAATAGTTCAGGAAAACTTGACATTTTACATTGTTTTGTAGCTTTTTACATGGTCCCTTAAAAAAAGAAGACATTAACAAGTTTGAATTTGTTATTTAAAAGACTTCTCCACCAGAGGGCAGGCATGATCTTTTCTGAAGAACTCTGCCATACAGTTCTACAACCTATGTAATACTATTGAACAGTCGTAGTGGCTGTCCCAAAGATCTGTCCTGATGACACCTCTGGTTGGCAGTGTTAGTTATACCTGACAGCATTAGTACTACATGGAATATTTGCAGAGGAATTCGGAGGAGGCCATAGTAAGAGACACTGTATGGATAGCTCAGTGAGTTAAGTATCTGACTGTGGACCAGAAGTTGAGAGTTCAATTCCCCAGCATGGCTCCTGGGAGAAGAGCCAGCCTGTGTAGCCTTGGGCAAGCTGCATAGTCCAAAAGCACCTTTGGAAGAAGGGAGTGGTAAACCACTTTGGAGTGCCCTATACCTAGAAAAGCCTGCAAAGGATCACCATTAAGTCAGAACTAATTTGGCAGCACTAAATAATTATTACTAACAAAGGAACTGAGGAATTTTGCAGTACTTATTCTGGGGTGGTCTAGCAACACACTTCAGTAACTGGATTTTCTCATCCAAAGTCTGCTGATGGCTGTAAAGTAACTCTA